ATCTAAACTACATCAAGAGGGAAATCACCACTTGACACGAGGCTTATCTCGGGAATGCAATGTTGTTTGGCAAATCTGTAATGGCGCCTATGGGCGCCCGTAGCTGCTCCAATTCAGGAGAAACTTATCCAGACAACGATAAAGCAATATCTCTTTGCGTATCGAAATTACAATAGCATAATAGCCATAATTTTGGAACAGATTTGACAAGGGTGAATTATCATTTGAATTTTGAACACTGTCAAGCACACCCAGCTAGGCAAAGACCCTATGTTATGCCCCACTGCGATCGTGTTTACATTATTTAGCAATATTTCAGGGTCCAAAGGTTGCTCACGAAGATCCCGTCCATCCGCCATCTTATATACGGCCGGGCAAATACTAGTCTCGGCTCCAGCTGGAATTTGAGATATATTCCTCCTGATTGAGCGGGATGCGTTTCAGGCAAGCAGTGGCGGATCTATATCGGGGGGGGGGGGGGGGGGGAGTCTACGCAGGAAAGCACAGCAACGGCCTGCTTTGCCCCCCCCCCCCCGGCAGCTTCAATCCCCCCCTGATCAAAATCTGGATCCGCCCCGGTAAAGGGAATAAATATTCCTAGTCCTGTCTCGAACCAAGACTAGTCAAATACCGCCGCGCCTTATCATCAACATATAAGGTTTCATGGGAAAGCAACAATCCCCTCAGAAATTGTTTTCGTATTATCCCCGGCAGGGTTTATCTTTCATCAAAGTTTTGCGGCATGCCGTCAAACCAAACAGACTGTCAATCAAGCGGGGGGCCGGCTAGGGCATCGCGGGTCGACCAGGCCCGGCTGGCCGGTCCTCATGACTGATAAGCCAGCTTATAAAAATACAAAGAAAATCCGCGAAATTCCATCGTTTATCACAAGACAAATTGATCATCTTACATATTTGTTTCCCTCCTCAGGTCGGTGTATACGTGTTTATCAACCGAGGTTATTCCTGGCCCGAACTTGGGTTTGTATTGATGTTGCTGGACCGAGTTTTTGGGGTTTAACCCTGCCGAAAAATGTCACCGATCTCCCCTTGATGGATGGTGGTCGTCGGAAGCCGATCATTTGTCTTCATTATACGGTGTGGGGGAGGATAGAAAAACCCTCGGGGAAAAGTGGCAACTTTTCCAGGTCATTTTGGAATGTGTTTTTGGCTTTTCAGCGAACATGATGTTGACACAACCAAACAAACTCGACTCGAAAGCCAGCAGTAGTGCGCAGTCCATTCGCCCTTTTTTGCAAGTCGGCCATCTTGAATCAAAACAAATTCAACATAGACAATACATTCTTCACACCCGCACTGTATTATAGGTTAATATTCTCGATCAAAATTGCTAAGACTGAAGGCCCTGAAAACTAAATATGTTGACTTTGGAATCACCTCTCCCGGTCTTTATTCACGAACTCAACAATGCCATGTTTATGGTCAACACCAAACTGAAAATGGCTTCCTTTTCCATAACAATCGTCGAGTGTTTTTGCCAATAATCTGATAAAGTGCAGACCCGGGTTTCGCAATGTGTATACGTTCATGTTTACTTGCGAAAAGTGGCTACACGTGCGGATACCCGAACACAATAATATTTATAGTGACTTCAACTTCAGGTGGCCACCCACATGAAACAGAATTTTGAATAATGATCAAGTGTTGACATTAGAAACGGCAAAATTAATGAACAAGTTGGAACATTAGCAGCGCCCTCTGTCATCAGTTAACTGTTCAATTCTTTTTTTCGGGGGGGGGGGGGAGGGGGGCAAATCCATATTTCTTGAATATCTTGGCAGTTTGGTACATTTAGAAACAGATTCACTGACATTGTTTCTAGCATAATAATAAGGATATTAGATCGATTTCTGTACTGATCTGTAAATCAAAACGAATGTCACTTTATCTGCAAAAAAGGGCATAAACCTTTGATTTCCTGCCTGCAGCTGGCGTACCGTGCCCGACAGAGGGCGTTTAAGAGACCCGATCAGACAATATGCATAAATTCAGAGCTCTCAAGCCCGGTGACACAATTATTGCGCGCGATATGATTTACGGCTGTTGGGAGTCGAAGGCAATTTCCGTTAGGAAGCCTTTTATTGCAGTCCGCTATCTCTTTCAGTTTCAGCCACTGGGCAAGCCTTGTGAGGAATGGCTGGTTCATAGGGTCTGGTTCCCGCCGCGCGCTGCGGAGCTTGGAGCCAAGCTGTCAGGCAGGCAGTTGACAGATGCCTTCATTATACGGCGCGACGTCCCACGGCTTTGGGACGTTTAGGGATGTTCTCTTAATAGCGGCGACAGGTTTACAACCTGCGCGAGTCTGCGAATTGTGCGGTGCCTGCGCAGGTTTGTTTATGCATATAAACAAAAAAGTACGTACTGCTTCCTTGATTATGCCCGTTGGTACATGCTACAACCATAGAGCAAGGAACAAGGTAAAAACACGGGTACCCAGGTTCCAATAAAAGAAACCCAACCCCACGATTCAAAATTGTCTGAAGGGCTTTATAGCTTTACGTGGTAAATAAACTGCAAGTGCAACTTTTGTGAGCGTCATCTGTCGTGCGTTAAAAATACAAATTTACGTGAAATCTGTCTTGGGTTTTCATGTAGACAGGTTTTCATTTTGAAAATTCCCCACAAATGGCATTCAAAACCTTTCATTATCCATTGTCTGAAAAGTTAGTAAGTAATTTGTAAAATTGGTTACGGGTACCCGACCACCATAATCTGGAACCGGTTCCTGACATCAGCGGTCGGGTACTCGGGTACTCAGTTCCGTTGCACGGATGAACTCAATGCAACTGACTACATACCATATGACGTCATAACTCTCGACCATATGGTCTACTAATAAATGTTATTCCCTGGAAAAACCTGGGTGTAAAAAATATACACCGCTCTGGTGTTCTTGATTAAAAACACATGCACAAGATAATTTAAGTGGAGTGGATTTGACACCGCTGGTGTATCTTTGACACGATGTAAATTTAACAGCACCTTGTTAATTGGTGTTTATTTATTCGTCCTTCGTGTGGAGCACGTCACCGTTGAAATTATGCACTACTCGTTCGCTTATTGCGTAAGTTGTGTGTCATTACTCAACTGAAACTGTATACACAAGCATGGTGAATTAGGTTGAACGTTTGTGTTCTAGTTCAAGTTCATCCAGCACTAACATCGAACATTCTCTCGAGGAAGGACAGGACACACTGTCCGATATGTCGAGAGTTTGTTTTCTCACCACAAGTCCGCATGTTCTTACACAACCACCTTTCACAATTCACAAGAAGACGTTTTTGCCCGCAAACCTTAGCTTCACTACTAAGTAAGTAAAGTCTGTCACGAGCCAATGTGGCCAGCGTTTATCTCCGGTTTCAGTAGCATAAAACGACTGAGAATATTTCTACTCCCCCTGGATGGGATGCTCGTCCATCGCAGGTTTACTCCCCAGCTAATGCCGGTACCCATTTATACTCCTGGGTGGGGAGAGGCAAGTGGGGTGAAGTGGCTTGCCCTGGACACAACATACGACCAGCAGCTGGATTCGAACCCCTGACCCTCCGATCATAAGACATTAGCCCTAACCACTGGGCCACACTCCTCTTATTAGCTTCACCATTGCATCAAATAAATTGTATTACTTTTTTCAGCGTAAAACTGAACTGCTCTCTACAAATTCACTCGAAAGTCATCCCTATACAGCACTGACAAGAAACAGAAACCAGACTATTTTCCCAGCCCAATATGTGATAAGGAGCGCTGGCCACTTACGGCAGCGACACATTTACGGCCATAAATCTTTCGCGCCGGCATTCATCGAGGAACGAGTTATGGGCCCGCCGCTGATAAGCGTAATTGCTCGCTAACTGCATAATGTGTGTACGGGCCCCCGCCAGCATGAACGTCATGTAAATATTGTACACCAACAACCATTGGGGGAGAAAAAAACTGGGCAATTGCTAGTACAGTACTTTATGGTGATTGCAAAGTGTCCTGGAATCATTTTTGCACTTGAGAGCTGGAAAATTGATGGGTGCTTTCCAATTCATCGTACCTTGGATATCAAAAAAGTGCATGGTGCGAAAAAAGGAATGATATTATGAATAGGCTTTTCAGGAATACCATTAGGGCGTTTCATTTTTTTATGACATTTCTGCATGATTTATTCCGTGGAGCGCTATTGATGTTTTGTGATATTTTATTCGGGTATAATGGCTTTGCGGGAAGTGATAAAAGATATATGGTGTTTTGATTTGAGCGCGGTCACATACCGGGCTGTCATTTTCGATTCGTGTCATTGTCGCCAGCTCGTCAAATGTCAACAAAAGCTGGCTTATTTCTTTATGGTTTTTATATTATCACCACCATTTGTGTTGTGTTCAAGTGAGGTATAAACATGACCCAACAGTAAAGGGGTGTTTGTGATTTCAAAAGAGCTGGGGAAGAAACCTTAGATTTCATTTCGCCCGGGGCATTTTTGAGTTGTCACAGCACGCAGATGTGCTGTAAATTTGGGTTGATGGAGAAAAACTACCACGTTGGCACTTTATACCGTTGTTGATGAAGTAGAAATTCAAGTGATATATCAGCGAATTGGAGCAGTTATCCTGCCGTTAACTTGGGCTTCTTGACCCCCTAAAACTCGACAGTCGTTAATAGTCGACGGGGCAAATAATCACACGTTTGTTCAGGACAAGAGGGGAAAATGTGGACTGAAAAGTGGATTATAAGCGATCGGAGAGTGCACTTTTGACGGGTTGTCGTTATTATTCATGACCTGAGTGCGGCGGGCCAATGGTGTGCGGTTCTGTCCTGCCTGCCTCTGTCACACAGCCAACTCGGCCCCGTGGCTTACGGGTCACCTTCCCCCGTCACTCGGCGCGGCGGATTATCGATGAGGGGGCGGAGCTCCCGTGGAAAAACAAAGCCCGCGATTGGGGCAGCGGGCAGCCTGCGATAACATAGCGGGTCGTGGGCCGCGTGTGCGATAGTACATGTACGCATACGGTGTACTAATGCTGAGAACTGCAGTGGAGGTTTTTTGTGTGTGTGTGTGTTGTTGGCGCTGGCTTGGCACAAAAGCTTTTGATTGACGGGTTGTTATCGACAAGGCGACGGGAGTATGTTTAATCAGTGGTGCTTTTTTGAGATTGGGTACAGTTGAGGTCTACCCGCGATCGGCTCGCTAACAGTACACTCCGAGCTTGCAGCGCTGGCACTTTCCCGTCTACAATCGCTGGCTAGTGCCTACATTCAGTTTACCAATACACCACCGGTTAGCGCAGCAGTCAGTTGGTCCAGAGATTTGTGATCAATGTGTGTTGTGTGAACCGTTCGCTGCATGAGAGAGATCAGAGTCTGCATTGCGCTCTCACACGTGAACTTGTAAATCACTCATCGTGGGGACTTCAACAAATTTTTTTCTCTCTTTTCTCTGGAGGATTTTAGCCCGAAGCTTTCTCAGCTAAAGGGTAGTGGCCGGTAGACGCACAGCCTGCACAGTGATGTTTTTCAACACCGTGAATGCGAGCGTTTCACACCAGTTTTGACCGCTGAGTTTTCGCGCGTGTCAAAAAAGACTCTTTGATCGCCGTGTGGTGAGCTATTTGCTGTATTGATCTGTATACTGTTGCCGTTTTCTTTTCCCTTCTGCACATGCAGGTTGGTTGAAGGACCATACATTATACACACGTGTACATACTGTGATACTGTGGGGAGCTCTCTGTGTTAGTGTAAGCAAGAACGAAGGTCGACACCGATAAGCTCTCCTGACTCTGTTTTTCTATACACAGCAGAGGGGAAAAATGTAGAGCGAGGTGGAACATTACTACGTGAAAACATTGAGCCGATGACAACGGGAGGGCCTCCAGGGAACGGGACAATTCGACTCATTCTACCCACCACATAGCGGAGCTTTTACCCACTGGAGTTGTTTTTCCTGTGTGTGTTTAGCCGGCGTGTCTTGGATTTGTTACAGTGTCATAGTGTGAGACCATGGCCTGTTCGTGCGAGGAGGGATTTCATCCGGTGGATTTGCACCGTGGTGGCCCCGGTGTTGCCGGCCGAGCCACCGGTGACCGCAGCGGGGTGATCCCCGTGAGACTCCCGTCACCGTGGACGGTGTTTACGCTGCTGGTGATGGTGCTGTTGGCGTGCCCGCCCGGTGCCCGGGGGCAGGATCACTTTGACGAGTTTAACCCCAAGCCGCAGCAGTGCATGCCCATCACCATCAAACTCTGCCAGGATGTTGGATACAACGTGACTCGGATGCCCAACTTAGTTGGGCACGAGCTCCAGCAAGACGCTGAGCTCCAACTCCAGACCTTCACTCCTCTCATCCAGTACGGCTGCTCCTCCAACCTCCGTTTCTTCTTGTGCTCCGTGTATGTGCCCCTCTGCACCGAGAAAGTGGACATCCCAATCGGGGCTTGTCGGCCCATGTGCGAACGGGTCAAGAACAAGTGCGAGCCGGTTCTGAAGGAATTCGGTTTCAATTGGCCGGCTACTCTCAACTGCTCCAAGTTCCCGCCGCAGAACGACGCCCGGACTATGTGCATGGAGGCGCCGGATCCAGATCCGGATTCTACAAACCCGGACGGGGGTCCCGGAGGGGGCGGGATGCGCCCGATTCCGACCATCCCATCCCCAGGTGGTCCCAGCGATAGGGACTGCCAACACAAGCGCCACCCGTACAAGTGGCACTACGTCAAGCGGTACGAGCAGTGCGCCCTGCGATGCAACCAGAACCTGCTCTTTAACTCCAACGAGAAGCACTTTGCTCAGATCTGGATGGCCATCTGGGCCAGTGTGTGTTTCCTGTCCACAACCCTGACCGTGCTGACCTTCGCCATCGACCCTTCCAGGTTCCGCTACCCGGAGCGACCCATCATCTTCCTGGCGATCTGCTACAGCGTCTACAGCATCGCCTACGTCGTACGGCTGGTGGCAGGCTATTCTAAGATCGCTTGCGATGATGACGGCGAGACGAGCTTCCTGATCAGCGAGGGTCTTGAGAACACTGGATGCGCAGTGACCTTCCTCCTCCTCTACTTCTTCGGGATGGCAAGCTCCATCTGGTGGGTGTTCCTCACTTTTACCTGGTTCCTTGCAGCGGGACTCAAGTGGGGCCACGAAGCCATCCAGATGCACAGTACGTACTTCCACTTAGCAGCCTGGGGCATCCCCTTCGTCAAGACTGTCATCGTGCTGATCATGAGGGTTGTGGACGCGGACGAGCTCACGGGGATGTGCTACGTGGGCAACCAGAACCTGGACGCCCTGACGGGCTTCGTGTTGGCCCCGCTCTTCACCTACCTGGTCCTGGGGACTTTATTCCTCCTGGCCGGGTTCGTCTCACTCTTCAAGATTCGCTCGGTCATGAAGAACGACGGGACCAAAACGGACAAACTGGAGCGGCTCATGGTCAAAATTGGCCTGTTTTCTGTGCTCTACACGGTGCCGGCCACCATCGTGGTGGCCTGCCACTTCTACGAGCGCTCCCACAGGACGGTCTGGCTGATCGCGGGACTCACCCCCAACGTGGAAGTCTACATGCTGAAAATTTTCATGTCCCTGGTGGTTGGGGTCACCAGCGGTATGTGGATTTGGTCGGCCAAGACTTTGGTCTCGTGGAGACGGTTCACGAACAGTTTATTCCCCACTATCTGCGGGGGCAAAGAAGGCAACGTCTACGTTGGACCAGGTGGGAACGAAACAGCCGTGTAATATTTCTCATTTTTTTGGAAAAGAAAAAAAGCTTTAAACCAAACAAATCCTTATTTGCTACTTTGTAAGTTATTATAAATATAGACTGTTTTTATATATATTATTATTATTATTATTATTAATATAGACCCAACTCAATGCTAACCGTAAACCATGCCTGTGCCTGAAAACGTATTGTTTGACCGTAAAAACTCTTTGGTTTAACAACGGCTAGGTCTGGTTCTTTCTTTGTACATTGTTATTTATAAAACTTGTTACTAAGCTTGTCGGTAATTATATCACTCTAAAGATGACCAAGGGGTGCCATTCGCTGAGGACTCTTTGATGGTACTTCACAGTGGCTTCAATCGATTCCATCTCCTCCCCTCTTAAGCCAAAAAAAAAGTATTAAGCTCTCTTCTCTCTTGCGAGAGCGGACAATGAGCGGTGTGGTCTCGGGAGTAAATACCGTTAAATGTGCCTCGGTCCGGGCATTGTGTTCCCCGGACCCGGCACCGGTATTGTTACCCTCCCCTTTTTTTGCTGTGAAGGACCTCCAAAAAGGGGTGAAGCGAGTCGGAACAAATTAATGTCAATCTCTCAACGGTCAATGGAGGGAATCATCCCCCTTTGCCACCGCGCCACGGTAGGGTAGTTCGGTGTCTGTTCAAATCAGGTAGATTCGCGTTAGTCACAGATCACGGGCTCTTTTGGCGTCAGCCCATTTGTATCAAACGCAATGCAGCAAACCCTTTTCCTTTTTTTTTTGGTCCAAAAAGAACCAAAACAGAAGCCTTTTCAGAAACAGGGGCAGGCAAATGAGCTGGGGATTTTTTTGGTGGTCATTAAAATCAGAGGAGCCGTAAATTTACAAGGTATTAGCGGGTAAAATGTTTAATGCGCCATGACGTGCGTTGTGCGCATCCACCAATGTGTTATTGGTCATGATGGAGTATTTTACCAGAAATGTATGTTTGCGAAATTTGAAAGAGATGTGGCGTGATTGACATTTAAAAAAATAAGTTAACATTTTTTGGTTTCTGACAAATTATGCGTGCCAAACATGGCAGATTTCACTATCGTGTGTTGTTACACATTTTCCAGTATATCTAGAACTGAATTCGGGCCACCTATCTACTTTACTTTTAAAAGATGTTCTATTTTTGTTCATGGGTTACGATCTACAGTTTTGAATCTTTTTATATATTTGACTGAGATCACTTCCACGTATGCACATGTTTTAAGATAATTGGTAAGTTATTCTTTTGTCACAAAAAGGTTCTTGACCTCATGTTTCAAATCAATGTCATGAATTGGTTTGACGTATCTGGCGCTTACAGGGTGCATAACATTTCGTTTGGATTTCGGCAAAATGAAAAGAAAAAAACACTTTGCTGTCAGAAAGTCATGACAGTACGTTGACAGCGGAATGTTTTAACCTGCACATGCCCTTCGTCACAAATTACACATTGTGTTGAACTTTTGAACTTCGTAACATTGATGTGTGAACTTGATTTAAAGTGACACATTGCCTTCTGTCCTCGGGCTGTTCTGTATTGGGAGAAGAAAAACTACAGGTGTCAATTTAATGTGGTGAAATGACTCGATAGCATTCGAGATAGAAAACACTTGTCATTAATTTCTTACAATGTTATATACACGAGTGAGAATTATTCCAAAATAGGCCATGACGGGCCTGTCCTGTTTTACCACATCCAAACCTCTTTGAACGAATTAATAGAAACCAAGTCATTTAGAATGATCTCCATAATGAATGATTAAAAAAAGTCCATGTTCCACCAATAGAGACAGAAAGAAAGACAGCAAATTTGGCGCCAAAAGTTCTCACAAAATGATTGAAAAAGCTTAAATACAAACATAACATCAGTGTACAATGGAGATGTGATTTCACGATTCTGTGAACATGAAACATAAAATAAGTTCATGGTTTTAATATCTTTTTCACCAGATTTTGTGCAGAGTTGGAAATTGTACTTTGTTTTTTATAGGCTTGAATCTTAAAGCCGTCATATAGCTCCAGACCCCAGTACTGTCTTAAAGTGTGAATGACACCAAAGATGTTTTTTTTTTCTTAAATACAACAAAAAACTCAAAATGTGGCTTTATATTTTTATGTCGTTGTGTTAAAAAGGTTCAATGTTGTTACCTAGTAACGCCATTTTTTATATCTCCAAAATGTATATTGTTCAGCCCCTTATCCTTCCGAATACTAACACAATAATTGTTGAACCAGGTTCCACGACGTTTATGTTGTTAGATTTTATAAGATTTATTGTTTTATAAATCATTTTCTGGTTTGGTCAAAAATTATGAAATGGAACACTGTGACAGTACGGTTTACAAAAATAATGTGCACAAAAGGTTGGGCCTAATTCCATTGAGTTACAAAGCAGAAGGATTTGTTTTACGAAGCACTGTAAGCTCCAATTCCATTCAGCTGCTCAGCACTGAATAAATTTGCTTAGCAGAGACAGGGTACCAGACAGTATATTTCTGCATGTATGCATATTGGATTGTGACTGGTGCCTTGCTAATACGGTATTTACCAATGACATTTGCTTAGCAATGTTTGTCTGCTTAGTAGCTCAATGCAATTGGGCCCTGGTATACAACATTTTGAATGTTGTTTTGGTTGTTGAATGTTACTGTTTGTGCTCTGCTTATTTGGTTTCACAAGCAGTGGTAAAAAAAAACAAGGTGTTCGTGTCTGAAAAATAATGAAATAGTTGGCGACTATTATGAAGAGATTGTTTGTATAACCGAAGTTGACGTGTACCAGAAAGTGTGTTTTCAGATTTTGTGGTCATCAGCTCTCAAATTTGTAATTTTTTTTTTCTCAGAAAAGTGGCATTCTTATACTTGATTAGATAACGTAAGAATGGCCACTCTTTTTCTGGCAAGATTTTGAAACTGGAATCTTGACAAACATGTTCTTGGCAAGGGATCAAATGAATTTGTGAAAGTCTTTTTGGGAAAGAAATGTTCTGGAACTTGTTGAAATAAATATACGTGAAGGCAAGCTTTATATGAAAGTGGTTTGTCGCAATGTCACTTCTTTTATTTTACCTCGTTAAATTAAAACGGTATGCGTGGGTGTAGTACTACATACAACAATACAAGTCGCGTGTGTATGGAAGTTATAATAGAAAATGCCAAAGGAAAATTTTGGTTTCTTGAAAGTTTATCAAATGTCATAAATATTTATGTGAAATTCACCTTGCTAAATTTATACCTGTTTTGTGTTTGACCTCTGTGCACTGAGGGATTTTATAACGGCAAAATTTGTCTAACACGGGGATGAAAGTACAAAGGCTTTGAAACATTATGACTAAAGCGTATTAAAGCTTTTCGTACGCGGATCGAGAGGTGAAATGGGTGAATTGATTTCATGTGCGATAATTGCTAACGACAAATTCGGGAGATTCGCTCGCTAAATTCATACCATACTACTTTCTAATACATCAAAACACCGCATAATGACTACATGTACTTTAATCCGTTTATTGCGGGTCCATCCCTCCCCAATTCCCTCCCTCGACGTGTTTGCTTCCCTTAATAAGATCTGGCCTGGCACTTTTGTCAACATGCCGGTACTCGGGCTTCGTAGTTAATCATTTTCCAAAATAAAAAAAAAACCTGGTTTTTTTTTAAGCCCCCCTTCGTCCGGAGTCCGTGGAATGAGAGGTAATCACAGACCCCGGCATACCCGTATTACCGCGCCGTCGCCACGGCCAGTTAGCTATGCGAGCTCCGCTGCTGCAGCATGTCATAACCTCATTATATACCCGATGTAGGCCTAAGTATTTATTATTACCTAGCATCTATAATTATTATTATCAACCTCCCTCCCCCCCTCGTTTTTTTTGGCAAGCTCTGTTTGTGTACGGTTCTCTGTCCGCTGTTTGATCAAGAGATTGGTATTTTATAGGATCGTGTGTGTACTTTATGATTAAGGGTGGACAAAAGAGTCCACAGTGACCCTACCAACACGTTACATGGAGAGGAATGGAGCAAATAAAAAAGAGGGGGGGGGGGGAAGGGGGAGGGAACAACCGTCACCTACTTAGTAAGTAGGGCTCGCTATTAGACCCCTGCCTAGTTCATTTCACCCCAGAAACCTGCGCCAATAAACGCCGTTCAGGCCCCACGGGCGTCGGGCAGAATTGATGTGTTTGAAAGGCGGGGTTAAAGATCAAATCCAAAAGGTTTTTTTTTCTTTTTAGGAGATTTTTTTTTGTCAAGGAGAGCGTCATAATAATGAGCATATACTCCAGGCTTGCATTATACAGTGGCCGGTGTAAGACTTTCATAAAGCATTATTGGGGCCACCTGCTGTCACTTCAGCGCAATGAATTTTTATTGGAATAAATGAACGACAGCCTCCAAACTGTATTTGAAAATCGGGAATGTAGGGCTTTTTGTCTTTAAAAAAATGATGGAGGGAATTTTTGTTCGGTGTTTAATTTTAAAACTGTTTATATTCAATATAAGATTTTAAAGGCACGTATACCCAGGAAAATTGGTAGCAAACTTACCGATTTAATGAGATGCATGTTAGTCAAAGTAAAGAAAAGACTGGTACAGAATACCAAGTTGAAATTATTCCGCCCGAGATGGTAGTGTTCGGAAGAAAACAATCATTGCAGGTGGTTTTTAAAAAAGTGTGCCCACGGGCAGACTTTTTCAAAAAGATTACGATATTTGTTACATACATGTACTCGTTACTTTTGTTAATAATTTCGGGTAATAGTCCGACAGTGATTTACAATTTTGGTTTTTACCTCACAAATGATGTCTCAGCCATTATACCAAAGACAACTAGACAAAGATACTGGCAATGTCAAGTATTTTCTTCCTACCAAATATTTTTGAAGGAAATTGCCGAAGCTGGCGACAGTTTCGACCCGAAAACATCGGGTGGCATATAAACACCTTTTGTCCGAATTATCGTGTTTTTTTTTGGGGGGGGGGTTAAAAATGAGAAAAAAATATCTCTGAGATTGTGGAAAGCTAACAACAAAGCCCAACTGCGGAACAGTACTGGTAAACTTAGAACAACCCCAAGACTAAGTCCAAAAATAAAAGCCTTTCCCCTTTTTCTTGTTCCAAGTGCTCACAGGCAGTTCGAGTGTTGTGAATTCTGTGGGGCCGAAATTGGGGCTTTATTCCTTTATTCCTTTTTATAGTCTGTCATGAAAAAAAAAAGAGACGACGAAAATATAAAAGTGCCACAGGCGACATGCGATTTCCCAACATACTGAGAACGGGTTCCAGAACGCTCCAGGGCCCAGGGAGGCTTGCTGACAAGCCGATGTTGGAGATTTGTTGAGTTTCGTTCGCCAGATTTTTTTTCTACTCTAAATGCGGGCGGGCATTTTTTTGGTCATGTATTATGATAGCAGTTGCACTTCCAAGCTTTCAAATCGGGCACCCGCACTGAGAGATTTGGTGATACGATCTCCCCCAACAGTCAGTAAGAATTTGCAGTGAAACATTATTTTGAGGGGGGGGGGGGTGTTTGAAGGGATCAGCTGCCGCCAGATTGCTTTGGCCAGCTTTTTTCTCTCTCCCGCTCCGACTCTCGGATTTGCTACGGGGCCTGAGTTATGTTATTTTTGGCAGTCTACGCGTGATTATCGCGGGCGATGTGTTTGGACAAGCGCGCGTTGAGGCTCGGCTGGTTGAAGGAAATACGTACCGACAGGCCATCGTGTAATGAGCCCGCCCGACGCCATCTTGGATTCCGCCTGGACAAAGGGAGAATGGAACTATGGATGGAAGGCCTCCAAAAAATTGAGAAGGCAACCGGCGGACGTTGACAGCTCGACAGAACTGCTGCCTTCGTGTCATAAAATCTAGAAAATACATGGTCGGAGCTATTCGAAAAGGCATGGTATTATTAATAATATATTGTACTGGGACCTAGATTTTTTTTTTTAATATGTTGGGTTTTCTTGATAATCAGGATTCAGGAGTGCGAAAGCTGAAATTACTACTGATTCGTATTTCACGAATAGATATCTGGGAAAGTGCAGCACAAGCTGCAAACCAGTGAAATTCAATTTTTTTTGGGGGGGGGGGTGTATTATCTGGAAATCGCTGTGTAAATTCGCTGGTTCCAATAAGTACAAAGTGCAGTACAAGCTGCGAACCAGTGAACGTCTTTTTTTTTTTGGTGGGGGGGGGGGTTACTATTTATCTGGAAATCGCTGTGTAAATTCGCTGGTTCCAATAAGTTCAAAGTAACATAACACAAAATTGATGGAAGTGATCCATCACAGACTGGTTCCCGCCCCATACTAATTGGAAGTTAGAATGATTAGGGAGGAAACGGAAACCAGCCTAGAATCGTGAATGGTCATGTCTACAGATACAGCCAATCAGAAACGCCGTTACATCGCGTTTAGCCTCAGGTTTAGGCTGTGTTTCGTCTGCACAACAAAAATACGTCGAATATATGAACACCGTAAAGAAAAAAATCGACAGAATACACACAAATTCTCTCGAGAATTCAAAATCAGACTGTCACAATAATAAGCGGATTATGAGAGATAACATTTTTCTTCCGTACGCTGAAAAAAAAAAGCTTGAAGGAAGGAAAACTTTAATCGGCTTAAACCTGTGCACAGCTAATGGAGTGACCCAGATACACTACAAACTCACGGCAGAAAAAAAACCACACATCTCGGCCACATCGAGCGTGACTAATATGCATATATACATATTTAGAATGGAGATATTTATCTTGATGATACAGCGGCGAAAGCTGTCACTTCGCGTCGGTGAATATCGCTTTCTGGAAATTTTTTTGGGTGGCTGTTCGGTTAGCAGTCGAGGAGACACGATCGTTGTGGACAAAATTCGGTCGATTGGCCGACCTACTTTTGTGCACACGTTAATGGACTGGAAATTTTGCATGTGTCTTGAGAGGCAAAAAAGGGGGAATCTTGAACAAATTTTAGACGCTGACGTATGACTTTTAAGAGAAGTAGAAAAGGAACATGTCCTACCGGCACATCAAACACAAATTTGTGGGTTGAACGCTGGCGCACGGCCCTCGTTCTAGGCCATTGCAACCGCCGCCGCAAAGATGGAAAATATGGAACAGGGACTCAAGAGGGCAATAGAATGTTTCTTCACATGCTATTAAGTGCAATTGGGAAACACATGATAAATATGGACTTTCTTACGATGCATAGTTTTTGCCTTTTAAAAGAACTTTTGGCGGCATCTTTGTACAGGGGAAACTGGGAATTGGCGAACTTTTTGACGAAAGTTTTGGGATGGTTCTCAGGAAAATTGAGATCGGAGAAAGGTTTGGTGACATTTTACTGTCAACTCTTTGCGCAATAATAGAAATATCCAAGCAACATTTTCTCTGTGCAATAAAAGTCTCATTTGGAAACTCTACTTTCAAGGTTTACATTGTGTATTTGCAATCACGCAAAAAAATTGAAATGAAAATCTGCAAAACTGGCAAAATCTTCCAAGACACACTGATTTAAGTGCATGGACCTTTGTTGGCTTGAAGTCACCGAACTTCAGCCAGTAATCACGACCCGTCAATGTATGTTCGCTGACCCCTTCCGGTCCCACCGGACAGCCGCAGGAAAGAGGCTTTTCACCCGGGCAGTCATCCTATCCTGGCCCGCTGGCCTTGCCCGTCTTTTTCTAGCTCCGTCCCCAGGTGAGTCCAGCCATTTCATCAAGAAGACCGTGGTTTATGTTTTTTTCGGTTCGGACCGCTGGATAATAAAGAGAAAAAGAGAGCAGCGGCACTGTGTGAGTTTGCAGACGGGGGATTTGAGCAACAAAAGACGGCGTGGGGTGGAAGGAAAGCCGGAGACAAGAAGGTGAAAAAAGAAGGATGGCACGGTAATGCTAATAGCCCCTTTTTGTACGGAGAAGGGTGTGCAAGGGGTGCATTGAAGGGGAGAGCTTTTGTGTCAAGGGGGACAAGGGGAGGGGGCAGGGGCTTAAAATAATTGCCCAGTTTGGCAGTTGTGAAGGGACCTGCCAGGCGGTGTTTGAT